CATTTATTTAGCATAAGTAAAATTGTTCATACGTATTTTTAGCAAAAAGGTCTTTTGATTGTCAAATACAACATATTTTCTTTTCATTTCTTTAGCAAATGTGTTTCCAATATTATTGACTATATTTTGTTTTTGTTACTAATAAGAATGAAATCGCACATATTGAAATGAAAGCTGCATTAGAAAATAGATAGGTCGGCCTTGAAACACGGCAAAATGAAAAAGAATGCAGACTTAGTTTGACTTAGCCTAATCATGAATTGAAATGGTAAATGCCAGCTGCATTCTATGCCCACTAGTATGCATTCCTATTATCACGAACCCTTCAATATAAGACAGAAACATAGGTTACAGACAGAAGATACATATAAAAAACAGACAACATATCCTAAGTGTGATTAAACTGTATTCATGTAGAAATACTAGACAAACCATCTAGTAAAAGATTGAATTGATGAAACTGTTAATAACACAATCACAATATAATGTTGAAATGTTTGAGCAATTATTTAGTACTGTTTTTGAACAAAACAAATGATTAAATTGTTATTTCTACAGGGTGTACAAACTTCAATTATTGCATTAATACTGCTCACACAGGTTTGCAATAATGGAAAGCATATCTTATTAAATCAGGCAAGAATCCTATTTGAATTTTCTTAAAATCACCCAACTGAACTGACAGTAAAAGAGTTTAAGAGAAAAGTAATGTTTCAATATTCTGACGATTTTTAAGATATTGCATTATGAAAACGGAATCATTCTCCTGTTTGTACTGGCACACAAATATGAATCTTTAAGTAGTAAGTACACCATGAAATAAATAAATAAACATTTTTATAATATTCATGAAAACAAATACATAATATATACTGATGTTTATTACGATGAAGTGCAAACAAATCAATATTTCTGAAATACAACAATACAAAATAATTACAGTTTAATAGATTAATTAAATTTAAATGTAGTTCATCTCCGTGTATGACATTGAATTTAAGGTAACAGAATAAAACAAAACAATACATATATATTTACCGACCATGCTTTGACAATTTGAAGTGATCAGAATATTGATCAGCTTGTCATTTAAACCATTCTTAGCCTTCTTGTAAAAGCCAAAGGACACTTACATGCTTTACACTCTATATAATAATATACAAGAGCGATCAGTAATACAGTTATCACATGTGTCGCCTCATGATAGCCTATAGCATGCTGCAGCTACTGTGTAGAAGACACGAACAATTATTTACAGGGCATTAACAGGGCAAAACGCTTTTTTCATTCAAGGGCCATAACTTGGCCAAAAATCGTTTCAACGGAAAACACATTTAATATGCGCAAGTACTCGTCCTGTAAAATTTCATTTAAAATTGTATAAATAGTATAAGAGGAGTAGTCCAAAATAAACCTTTGTAAACACCTTTTTTAATCAAGGACCATAACTTGGCCGAATTCATTCAAGCGGAAATACCGTGTAGTATGCTCAAGAACTTGAGCTACCAATCAATCCTGAAAAGTTTCATCGATGGTATTATAGGAGTAGTTCGTACTAACTTTATAAATAATAATAACAATTAAACGTATCTCTGACAAAAATCATTGAACTAAAACAAGCCGCTGATATGCACAATAAGACTTTTAACTGGTCATTCTTGTAAAGTTTAGATGAAATTACACAAGTTGTTTCTGAGAAGTAGTCCGGACAACCTTCTATGTAGCTGGCAACACAAAAACTCTCCTAATGCAATGTATAGAACAGAACCAACAACCAGAAGGAGTATTTCTTGATTTTCCGTTTTTGCAACAACACATTATTGGAATTTAATATACTTTTATTTCAGTAAATGTTTTTTCTACTTTAGTATAAAATCAATTTTATTTTACAACTGACAGTTCAAATTGACTTAAAATGGTTACAATAACTGCTTTTAATAACACATACAAAATACACGGAAACATAAAACAAAATATTATTTTGATCAACCGTGACTCTCTTAAATACAAAGATAACATTTTGTGACCTTACATTATCTTGCTGCTTTTTTACGAATGTTAAATGACGTGAACTTTTGGTCTAATGGTCTGCACATTTTTATCTTTATCTAAACATGTTTCTTAGAAACAAATTAATGGTATGATTTAGGCTTGGCACATATATAGCAGGAGCTATCTGCCGACAAAAAATAAAACCAACAATAGTGCATCCAAAACAACAAAAACAACAACATAACCGAAAACACTTTACATACTGAGAAAAACTGTATGAAGGTTGGCAAACGGCTAATATTCGTCAACCTTATGTTTTGCATGCAAACAGAACTTTATTATTTCCAATAAACATTTATTTACAGAAATTTAGCAACTTTTTTCCATTTTTCACTTAGTGAAAAATCTTAAAGGGTATGTCTTATGAAAAAAATTATCAAATATATGCTGTTTCCATAAATTCATGTTAATTTCTCGAAATAGTTGTTACACAATGCGTCATTAAACGAACACGAAAACTGCGGGTGGCCTAAATTCATTGCCGTCATCGTGAAAAACACTTGTTGTGTAGACTTAATTTGAAAAGGTAACTTCATTAATTTGTGAATGTTTGTAAAATTTTGTCAATTTGTATTTCATTAAATTAAGTAAAGCATACAATATAAGTATAAAATAACATTAAATTATTTAATTAATAATGGCATTTCCAAAGAGAAAAATACTCAAAGAATTGATAAAATTGTTATTATAAGTAATCATCAGAGACACTAATGTTGTTTGATTTTTCATTTATATTTCAAATTTAACTTTAATTTATAGCTGTCAGCTGGCTATTTATGTGGTCGAATGTCTAGATAAGATAAAGATGGCTGTTTTGAAGTTACAGACTGTGCAGGTTCCGGAAATGATTTTGTTGTTTGAACTTCACTAGTTCCATCTTGTCTGTGTGTTTCCCTGGAATCATCTGATGCTCCTTCACTTGATTCAGCTAGTTGTTTCGGCGTCGTTTGGCTGCTGGACACTTCCTACATGTAATAACTTTTTTATGATTTTTGTTTTTATTCACCTCTCGCTTTTTTAAAATCGGCAATATACCATAACTTACAGGGCATTTTAGGACCAAAATTTTTAACAAAATTATAAAGAATAACATACTTTTATGAATCTCAAAATCAGAAAATTGTTGTTTTACATAACAAAATGCAAGTTTATTATAACACACAAATATAATAAAATCTTTCTATCGGTGTCATGTATTCCATTACAAGATATCCCAAATAAGCTATAACCTACTATGCCATGAATGATGTATTTATTGAAAGAGTAAGCGCAGAAATGCATACATTAAAAATGCAGAAATATATACAGAAACAAATATTTGTTATTTACACGTTACGATCATTATTTAAATAAAATATCCACATTACACTCTTTACAGTCGTTGTCTGAAAACCAAGATGTTATTAATCAAATTTACCTTACGTTCTTATAAATAAAAGGTAGAGACTTTTAGAAATTTACAAGTATATCTGTTAAGAGTAATGCTCAAAATGAAAAGTGAAAATTGCAGTCTCGGTTTTTGAGAAAGGCTGCAATTAAATAAAATCATAGTTGCGACTCCCACAGACATCACAACGAGTACACAACTAATCCACTTATCGCGACTTGTCCAATATAAGCTTTGCAACTGTTTACGAGTCCAATGAAATTACTGCTAGTCCGATATTGATTATATATGTATTTTTGAACTCTTTAAATGAAAACAAGGCTAGTTGGTGTACAATATTGATTTCATACGGCAGTTTTGAGCCCGGAAAAGTACAACCGAACCCAAACGGAGTGCTAGATAGATTTGATATGGATATTTTCTCTGAAAACGAAAAGAGGGGAAATTGATGTTTTGATCCAATTATGTTTTATATTGGGAGAGTACTTGGTGCAGATGCTGTATGTATATTGGTTACATTATATTTCGTTTGAAATAAAGAATAATAAAGAAATCAATGCAAATGAATGGTGCAAATGTAACCTTAAGGGAAACAAAATACTCCTTATATTGTAAGGGAAACAATCAGTATGTTATTTCATTAGTATTTTCCTTTTACAATACATGTGAGGCTGACCTACAGATTTTATATGTATAATGGAAAAATTAAATGCAAACGAATAGTGACTTCAGTAACCGACTTATCGTGGTTTTTTTTAATTTCTGTCCAGCCCATTTTTAGATTATCATTTTTAAGCCTATAAAATTATTAAAAATGTAATAAAGGGGTTCTACATCAATGTTGAAAACATTGGGTGCCTCCTATTGTTTAAATTCAAATATTGTTTGCTGGAAATCTTGAAATTTATGTGTATTGCTCAACCTGAAGAAAACAAAACAATCTAAATACCAATAAAGTCAAATAGAAAGTTGTGGCACAAAAAGATTGTTTTTTTTTTATTTGAAGATCATAATTATCTCGATATGTCCTCGTTTTAATGGAAATAACACATGAGTTTTTTCTGCAAGCATACCTGTGGTGGAGGATAATTTTTTTCCTTACACCATTCTGCAAATGCTTTAGTAACCCTTTTGACAATTGTTTCTTGACTTGGGTCTTCCATTTTGCAGTAAAGTCGTATGATGCACTCTTCAAAAACGTCCGGCAGTACGTAGGAGACCTGCATAGTGTATTAATAACTGCGGTTAAACATAAGTCTTTTGAAATAGATATACAAAGCATGTTAATATTGTTGTGTTTAACATAGAATACCCACATAATGTTTCATAAATATGATTATGATAACACAAACGTATTGGTGAATATGAATATTTTTGTATTGAAGATAAAGTTTTCACGTGGACAAGCGAAGTGTTTCTTATTTTGACCCAAATTAGAAAAAAAAGAATTTAACTTCAATTAGGTTAACAAGCATCTATCAAACTATCTATTTAATAATCATTTTGTTCAGAGGAAAACTTTAAATGCAAATCTGTGACGGTTTTTAGAATATTCGCTTACTTGGTTTTTAGCTAGTTTTATTGGCTCATCTAAGTAGTCTTTTGTATAAAATCGTACTTTTTCCAAAGGGTTTTTATCTTCCATACCATAATTGAACTTTACAATCTGTAATGAAAGCGTTTGTTTGGTTCGGTGTACGGCGCACCAACACAATTTAGGTCATATGTCGTCGAAACAGGAAAGATTATTTTAGCTAACTCCGGGTGTTCAAACATAAGTACCCACCAGGGGTAAAAATCTACACACTTGCTGGAGATGCACAGACTATGGTAATTTGAACCCAATAAGTCGCCTCTTACAAACACGCAGGTATAAATGGTGGCTGCAATTATAATGCCTAAACACCTCAGCTACAAGGGTTTAATAACAACGTTATTTGTTGTAACTGTCCTAATGCTAGAGAACGCATTACATAATTCTTTGGAAAAATGTTATATCAATATATAAGAAAAACGCTACATATCGAGGATATGTTATATACATATTTAGAAAAAAACTATACAGACATATCTGGCGAAAAATATAACATACATATCTAGAAGACGTGTTACACACACGCACGCACGCACGCACAAACGCACGCACACACACACACACCAATACATACATACATACATACATACATACATGCATACATACATACAGGTCAGATTATGAAGGAATAACTTAAATTTCATAACTAGGGACAATGTTATAAACATATCTAGTAAAATGTTGCATACAAATTAAGGGAAAATATCACAGACATATCTAGAGAAATTAACACATACATATATTAGGACAACTTTTGATATAAAACTTGGAAAATTCTTATATATATACATATGCTCCATACAAAATAAGGGGAAATGTACTCACATATCTAAAGAAAAGGTTACGTGCATATCTTAAGAAAACGTTCACTGGCAATTTTAGATATTGTTTCAAAATTTTCACAGAAATTTCTAATCTCTTTATCTATTTATATTGTATATTTCTATTACTCAACAGAACAAATGCATGCGGAATTTATGCCATAAGATTTAAGACATTGTGTAAGAACTGAAATAATAGATGTACCAGCGTACAAAAGTTTGTTTAAAGTTAAAGCATCTAATTTGTTCTTCACATAATGTATGCCTCTTTGCCGTTGATAATGAAAATAAAATGTTATTTAAGAATTTATTTGTACAATTTATGCATATGCTGTTTTAACGGCCAGATTTGATGATGTTTTCTTCTTTTAAAAGAAATTCCAAGGATTTCCAAGGCTGACAACATACATCAAAAACATATTAACATACACGTCTGAAAAGGATAATTAACACTCCCTCTGCTAGAAACGTAAGTGAACAGCTTTTTGCAACCACTCTAAAACCAGCTTGCACATCATGCAGTCTGACAAGACTCTTTGCTGTTGTTATTTTGACACTGGAGTTCCTTAAATCTTTAATGAACTCAAAGGTTGGCAAATCCATTACAAAAATTCAGCAGTTAAAGAGTAATGGTCACTGTCACGTTTGTGTAAGTAACTTTATTTTTTGTTGTTGTTGTTTTTTTTTTTTTTTTTTTTTTTTTTTTTTTTTTTTTTTTTGTCGTCATGGGTGTTTCAGTAATACATGCCAATGTCGTATTTAGCTGTTTTCCTGGGCTTATTTTATTTTTGACGAGGAAATTATGGAAACTTCCACTTCAAAAGCGTGTTTAAGAAATTAAAATGTATATCATTGTTAATTAAAATTTACATAGTATGTTTTAATTCAGGGAACATAATTAGCTAAGAAATCGCTGAAAACATCAATATGTCTGAATTAACATAGGATACTCATTTTATAGATATAAAATCAATCTGTTCTTTGTTTTCGTCAATGGTACACGTTCAATTAAGCTATTTTACTTTTTGGCAAATAGTTAAATATCTGTCTTGAACAATGAAATTACTCACGTCGTAATGGAGGGACATTTCTTTCACTCCTGTTCCCTTCAGATATCCCCATATACCCTCTTTTAAATCAATTTCTGTCAAGTTTTTATCCTAAAAAGTTAAATATATTTATAATTGTCTTATTTGACAAATGGATTTGATAACTTATTCCTAGTTACATTAAACAAATACCATTCAGATATCACTCAATCACTATTTTGAGTTTAACAAAAAGGATATTGTCAGTGTAGATACTTACAAGCATTACAATAATAGTTATGAAGGATACTTCTTAATATATGTACTGAGATGCCAAATATTGTCAAATGAACAGACTTCTGTGTAAAGTTATATACACAAAACATTGTTTAAGCTTACACGGACACATTAAAACCTCTTCGGAATACAAATGCAAATATCGCATGGCTTTCCGTAATAAATTAAAATCCACAAATACATTGAAATCCACACATTATCTGTATTGAAATTTGGAAAGCAAATATACCTTACAATGTGTTTGAGTGACACATTTTAACAACCGTCTGTACATAATATCAAGTAAAATTTCTCGTGCTGCATCAAGCTTTGGATTATTATCATTAATAATCAACTGAATGACGTCATCATTCAAATATGTATAGGCTTCCATATCGTCAACGGTTTCTGAAATTCTAAAAGGTTTACATTTATTAATTTATGAAATTGTATTTGATTTTTGCTTTTAAATTGTATCTTTTAATCAGCATGTAGTAAAATTTCATTAATTACATCATATATAATTACTAGAGCGTCCTGTTGCCCATACTTTAAAAATACATAAATAAACTCCTACGTGGGAGATAAAAAGTCTTACGAAGGATGTTCAAATATGAATTCAACTGGATCAATTTTCAGACATGCTTAACAAATAGTGCAAAATAATTGTCTCAATCCTTTAAAATACAAACATATGATTTACAAAGTATTAATCTTTTAATCCCATTTTTAAATGCGTTTTCATAAGTTTTTCGAGGTTTACTGTTCAGGCATTGGAAACTACCCAAACCTAGATTTTTTCGCGTTTGATATTTTCTTCCAGCAAGGTATTTTGTAAGCCTCGAAAATAGAAAAAGGTCACAAGGAGCCAAAACAAGTCGCTAATAAGGGCGATGAGGAAGCTCAACAACCTTTTCTCTTTTTTAGATATTCTCGTACACTTGCCGCTTTGTGTTAGGAAGCATTGTCATGCAACAACCTGACACCATGGAGGCCAGTTGCTGGTCGACGGTTTTTGAAATATTTCTTTAATTTAGGAAGAACTTTGCCTTTGTTAAAGTTGGCATTTACAGATTTTTCCTATGGTACGGCAATTTGAATAGCAGGACCTTGATTGGAAAATGACATTTTCGACGCTCATCGCTCGTTTTGCTTTTGAAGGTCTTCCTTTGGTTGCCAATATTTTGATATGTATCTTTCACCAGGGCTCATAAAAGTCTCTAGCGATAATACTTTGTTGCAAATATTGATTCAGTAACATTCAAGTCCTTTATGTTTTCAATCATTTTTGGCGAAGTTGCAGTTTTCGGACGGCGTGCATGAGAAGCATCTTTTACTGAATCCACACCACGGTTTTTGCGTTACTGACGCAGAAGGTTATGTAAAGGAAAAACTATGGTAGCTGATTTGGAACACTTGTGTTGTCGTTACCGACAGCACGACAAAGAGCCAAATGGCGCGTTGTCGCACTGTCATCTTATCGCCATGTCGCTAACGATGCACACCAAATGGCGCTTGTCGTGCGGCGTGTTGTCCCGATGTTATATCATCGGTCGTTTTACATCGAAGGATTGGCTATTTCTAAATATATAAGCCAGGCGACAGGGCGACATCGCAACAAAGCGTCGCACGACAACGCGCGATTTGGCGTGCTTCGCTAGCGACAGGACGACAAGACGACAATGTGACAAAGCGCTGTTTGGCACGTTTCTCTAGTGCCAAAAAGGCGATAACGATATAGGTTATGTTTGTCGCTATCGACAACGCAACACGCAAAAGTGTACCAAATCTGCCACCATAAAAACACACTTTACTGTTTTAATTAAAAGGTCAGTAATAATGGATTTACACATTAAACTTATCTACACCTTTTTTATCGTTCATATGAAATTTTATGTCATTTTTTTTCATTGTACACATATGTTATTGATGTTATTACTACCAGATCATCGTTTTGATTCAGAGTAAAGAATATTGAATAATGAATTAAATTTTACAAATTATTTCGTCCATATGCACGTGTTTATCGAATGTGTACATTTCCACCAAAATTAAATATTTTAATAAATTAACCCGTAATGACGTATGCTGTATCTGTATGTTAAGTAGCAAACCGATCTGTTACAATGTTAACACATTGTCATTACCTATGTGGGAAAGGTTTAAATTACCCTCTCCCTCTTATATAAATAAATAATCATTTAAAGTTATAATATATAAATTGATTGTACCACTGAAAAGGTATTTGTAAATGTTATAACATACCTTTTGCCATGTATTGTAAAATGAGCATCTGCTAATTCTAATGCATCGCAAATCCTGAAATAAAACAGAAGCCGGTTGAACTAGGTGATGCTCCAAAAACAGGTTTTGGATACAGAGAAACTATTTCGTGTTGATATGCATGTATCTTGTAGTTTTAGAATTATGTCCCTGACAAAGTTAACAGTTTAAAAATGTAAAAGGGCAATAACTCTAATATAAGGCAAGACTGAGTTACTGTTTAACGCATTGCAGTTTTACTTAATGAGAACTATTTACATACAAAGTTTCTTGTTGATACCTCTTCTAGTTCCAGAGTTATGTCCCGGACAAAGTTCAAAGTATAGAAAAGAAAAAAAGCCATAACTCCAAAATCAAGCAAAGCTGAGTAACGGTTGTTATGCACTGACCTTTAACTCGATGATTTCTATCTACCTACAAAGTTTCTTGTTGATATCTCTTATAGTTTCAGAGTTATGTCCGGGTCAGTCAAAGATCACAGTGTAAAAATGAACATAGGTCAATAATACCAAAACTAGGCAAGGCTGAGTTCTTTCTTCTGCTCATCTACCCAATGAGATCTACCTGCCTACAAAATTTCTCGTTCATATCTCTTATACTCTCCCGGTATGTCCCGGGCAAAGTTCAATGTGTAAAAATGAACAAAGGGCAATAACTCCTAGTTTATGCAAAACAGAATTTTGTTTTATTTGCGCTCCTCATATACTCAATAAGATATATGTACCTACAAAGTTTCTTGTTGATATCTACTATAGTTTCAGAGTAATGTCCCGGACAAAGTTCAAAGTAAAAGAATAAACAAAAGGCAATAACTTCAAAATTTGCAGGACAGGGTAACGGTTCATTTGCACTGAACTTCTACTAAATGAGATCTATATACCTTCAAAGTTTCTTGTTGATACATAATGTGATTTCAGAGTTATAACCCGGGCAAGAAAAGGGGATGGACGGACGGACAAAGCGGCGACTATATTATCTCCCTTTGGAGAGCATAACACTAGCTTTTGTGCTAAAATTGTCAATAAAGGAGACTCTGAAGGTCATCTAACACATGTCGCGGTCACGATTTAACTGAATCTATTCATAGACGACAGTGGCTCCATGGAAAGAAAAACGTTCACGAATATGATAAAATTTTGAATAAGGAACATCTGCAAATATCATAACTAATTTTAAAATTCAGTAAGTTGCTTTTACAAATCATTCAAAATTCTGTACTCTGACTCCAAAGTATATAGTCAGCAGTGAAAGACACATTATACCTTAAAACAAATTTTTACTCTCTTTAGATAGGGCAGACATGAGTCTTATAATGATTAGATAATGGTTGTAGAGCATGCTATGAGCTAACAAACTAATGAAGTGCTGAATATAAAATAGTTTGGCATATGAGTAGCAAAGTTAACAAAGTTTCTGTAGTATTTTGACTTAATACAAAACATAATATCATTATAACTTTTATGACATTAAAATAATTGTCAAATTACTTTTACAGGACACCACATGTAAAATGCTATGACATAAAAAATAAAAACATTTATGAGGCATAATGGAAAACCTTTAAACGTAATTAAAAAATGCGATAGAAAGACAATGTAAAATATCTATAAAATTCAACATTCCATCCTTATCTAAGTAACTTTGCAGAGCATTCCATTTAATTAAATAAAGACAGTATTTACGTTTGTCTCGTACACAGGACATTTCCAAACAACGCGAATCATGTATCTCAGTTGGAGTAACATGGATACTATTGAAATAATAAGTCAAGATAATATGTAAGAAATGACGAAACAAAATATTGATCTTATTTCTTCGAATTTTGATATAATGCATGGACACAAATATTTCAAAGGCAAGTTCATGTACATACATCATTCCGATGATTTTATGAGTCTTGTGCTGATATGCCCGTCTATGTAATGTCATCCTTGTGTAAAACATGTCATACAAGTCCTGTGCTACCTTAATTGTTTAATATGTAAGATAAAACAAAATTTATGAACATATTACAAGTAATACAAAAACATTCTCAAAATATGTATTAACTCTATACTATAATATTACACATTTCTACCTGTATAAAATGTCTTCTACCTGTATCAAATGAACAGATGAAATAAATTTCATGTTCCTAAGGAATTTATTTTACATTCACGTATAGATAGATAAATTGTTCTGATATATGAGACATATTAAACGAGAAGATATATATATCACCCATATACAGGTTTGGGTTATATATACCCACAACCCTTTATAGCTATCCATATAACAGAGACAAAACATATTTGTTACTAATTATATCTGCCATTTACCTCAAATGATAAAATTCAAATAAACAATAAAATATAAAAATATTGAGAACAGTATGTTTTAAAGATAAATGTTTATGACAGTTACTCACTTTATCTCTATAGCATATTTGTTTTCGGTACACTTGGCCATTACCGGTATTTGAGGAATCTTGCCTGCCGTTTATCCCGTTGCATTTGATAACTCTTGCATTAGTAAAACACCTGTTGTAATCGACATTGAATTTCATTCCCAGCATGTAACTGTCACGTGCAATATAATCCCATTTGTCAACGTCGATACCGTTTCTTTTATTTGCAACTATCTGAAAAATAGACGGGATCAATTATGTTTTTTTTAATAACAACTAAAGGTTGTATACTTACTATGCTTTATTATTTAAGTATCATATAAATGTTGCAGCATGTTGTGCATGTTTTAGATGTGCACAACCTATTAAGATTGATTTCAAACAGTACTTACTGTTATGGCAATGTCGAATTTGTGCTTTTTCGCAGGAAAATTAGAAATTGCGAACACAGGATACAACAAAGTCAGTTTTTGCTGTAAATTCGTGTTTTTATTTTTTTTTTCAATTTACAAGGCAAAATGTGAAAAAAACGACAAAAGAATAGCGATAATACGAAACATAAAATGAGTCGTGTTTTTTCATATGATTTGTCGTATCTTTTTTCTAAGAGAAAAAGCAAAATTGCGAGTATACGATGAAGTCGAACAGTTGTTGCGTTTTGCATTTTTTATTTCAAATTCTTCATTGTTGCACTTTCGCATTGCTGCATTCGCACATTAATTAAACCAAGGTAGCTTACATAATGTGATAATATATAAATAACAAATGTCTGTCGTGGTAATAGAGGATATTGTCAACCCGAAAAGTGGTATATTACCAATTCAAGGGTTGGCAATATCCTATAGCACTAAGACAGCCATGTGTTATTTATCTTCTTCTACCGAAAGACCTACAACTACAATATCTATAAGTACGCAGTCAAGGAAACAAAAAAATTAAATAAATAGAACAAACGCTTAATATTGACTAAAAATCGAAAGAAAAATCGAAGGGAATTAACTACTACAATATTAAATACGAAGGTATTTAGGTGTTATCTCCCTAGGCCTATAATAGACCTATGGGAGTTTTACATAGAAGGATATATTGAGGTATTATGACATAAAAAGATGCTTTTCACTCCTCCCATGGCCAATATTTTAAGGGTCATTCCCTTATATGCCTAACATAATGTATAAAATATCCCATAATTCTATCATCTTCACTAAAGCTGATAAAATCTTTTATATATGTTAAATGCTAAAAATACTTTCCTTCATATATACATATAAAATAATTTGATAATTTACGTTAATCGACAGTCTTTATTGATTTTCCTTGCATATTTTGTCAATTTAATCATTGTAGAATATTGACCCCAAAAATCGATGTCACTGTTGGCAAGGGCTATACATATTATAAAAATCGGGAACTATCTATTGATAATATTATTTAATATATCTTTTTAAATACCTATCAGAGATAGAAAATAATACATACTTTACTTTTGGCCAAGGTGACAATTAATTATGAAGAAAACAATAAATCTTAGCAAGAACTTAATAAGAACGAAAGATATAGTACCCGAATACCTGAGAACCAGGTCAGTTTTTAACTGCGTTAAATTATTTTCCCCAATATTTAAAGCTATCATAAACGTACCTCATACATGTAACTTTTGTCTTTATTTCTACTTTTGTATGGCCATTCCTGAAATATATCAATACCTTGTCAAATTTATGGAACCAAATTACATACTACATTAATACTATTCTATTTTCAACCAATGGTATTAAGAAGAATATAAACGAAATAAGATTTAAATATTGAGGTGATAACATTATCCTCTTTTAAAATAATAGTTTTACAGTATTGACGGGACACTTAATACGTATAAGGAAAAAACAGTTCAGAAAAAAACAGAATAGTAAGCCAAAAAGCCAATCCAGCTTAAAATAGATAAGCCAACATAGCTTGGTAATCATAGCAAATATGTTGTATATTTCGGTAATAAATTGGTTATCATTGTTCCTATGACGACTTTCTACTTTAATGTTTTAATATGCATTTTGCTTCTATTACTTAAATTATTTAATTTTTTGCTTCTATTACTTAAATTATTTAATTTGTTTAATTAAAATTCCATGTCTTATTTTAGATGTCATTCTTCATTATCATAAAAGGTTAAATATATAATTATTCAATATTCTAACCTTGAATTTTGCAATTAAAGCAGTGTTTCTTACCCGTTTTTCGATGTCTTTTGGATCATCAATCATTTCACAGATAAAGGTGAAGTCTTGTTCATCGAAACGAGAAAGCCCGCATCCTGTAAGTATCTCTTGTATATCCTTTTTCAACTGTCCGTTTTCGCTACTTAGCATGTACTCAAACATCGTCCGAGCAATATTTTCATGCTGAAAAGTTACGTATAGAATCTATACTTTAGAATACGTGTACTTGAATGTTTGCTGTTACATGTTCATCAAATACTTTTAAATAATGAAAATGTCACATGATGTGTTTGCTTTCATTTTGTAAGTAAGTATCATTTAAGTTATAGTTATTGCTCGTTATTTAAAATGACATTGTTGCTACCATTTTGCGATATCAAGGTTTATGCAATCGAATAAATTGATAAACTGTTTTTCTCAAAATATAGGAAAAAGAAAGTTAGACTTGTCTGTACATTTCTAACTCACCGTAAACTTCTTTTTCATTTTCGGCATGAATCTCTTTTCAAAAACATGAGAAAAGGGTCCTTGACCTGAAATGGTTTAAATTTAAAACATGTGCGAACAATTTTTCACTCAACTTAATTCACAATATTTCAGAACGACGGGCTTATATGCATGTTAGAATATTACATGCATGTATGTTTAAATACAATATTTCAACTTGTATATTACAAAGATTTTAGCAATTATTGTCATTAAAATAGATTTGTTACAAAATCCAGATTTGTGGTAATAAAATAACGTCATCTATTGTTATTATTGTAGTAACAATACTCCGTAATAAAAAAGATCTGTGCATGATTACATTCATAACATTGTTTGAACAAAAAGTTCGAAGCATTCTTTCTTTACCTTACCTAAATCGTGACAGAGTCCAGCTATCTCGACACACAGAATGTCTTTATCAGATATTTCCTCGCCCGGTTGTCTATCTCCAATTGTTTTCAATAACTTTCCTGCTAGGTAACATACTCTATAACAATACATTTTATTTAAATTTTATATAAGGCTTAAAGCAACAGTGGCGGATGAGAAGTTTGAAACTTTTTGTCTAATGTGTTTTTATATCTGTGCTTGTTTAAAATTTTGTTCATAGCTGAATGCAACTTTTGTTGAGTTCAGAAACATCATTTAATTTTCATACCCACGGACAGACAAAAATGTTTAGTTTGCTTTCTTTTTCTTCGAATAACGCATTGAGTACACTGTTTTTAAAATACCCGTTATCTAACTATTAAAAAAATAATCTAAAACATTACTGTAGAAGAATCACTTACCCTATAGAGTGCTCGAACCTATTATGACTGGCACCTGGGTACACCAGGTAACAGGTGTCTAGTTGTTTAATGTGTCTCAACCTCTGGAACTGTGGCGTGTCTATAATTCGGACACACACAGGATGTACCTTCACTTGTCCATGAAAAGGGTCGTTAAAGGTCTGGTAACGTACATGAAAATAATAAATATATTGAGAAAAGAAAGAGTACCCCCTCCCCCATTTAAGTACAGATATAGTCTTATTTAAAAAATTAAAATGTAAAATGAGCTTCATATATTTGCGCGAACGATTATGTGTCCGATAAAACAAATTTTAACTCGATTCAAACTCGTTTTGAAGGATAAACTTCCATGTGAAAAAAAAAAATTATACAGTTTCTTTTTATCTTAAATATGTCTAGAATTCTGCAAAATTTACGCTAACGTGCGATTAGCATGCGTAATTATGCTGTATTGAGATGAATGCCCTCGCTATGAATATTGGAAGTTATTTCCGTGCCATTAAACACCTTGTACAAGATACAGGACGTACAGAAAATCGACCACGTAATGGACGTCCGCGCGTGTGAATTGGACACGTACACGCCGACGCTGGCTTAGAAAACAATAGACTAGCGTTCTTTTCTCTGACGAGTCGAGGTTTTGCATACATCGAGCTGCTGGCAGGTTTACAGTTTACCGTAGAAGAAATTAACGTTTTGCAGACAGCTGCGTACTTGAACGAGATCTTTTTAGGGGTTGCGATTTTGTCTTGGTCTAGGCATGCATTGCACATGACTTTCGCACTAATCTTGTTGTTATCGAAGGGAATTTGATGGCCCAACGCTACAGAGATAAAATTCTTGCGAGGCATGTTATCTCACTGTTTCAAATAATGCGAACACACTCTTTTAAACATGATAATGCCACAAGCCATACAGCTCGGAATACTGTGAATTTTGTCAGGGCTAATAGCGTTGCATTAATTAATGACTGGCCTGCCATAACCCCTGATCTAAATCCCATTGAACACCTTTGTGATAATTTGGACCAGCGTGTCAGACGTCGCCCTATCCAACTGACAAACGTTATTCAACTTAGAAAAGCCTTTATTCAGTAATGGAGCCGAAATCAATTACTGCATAAAGGCTTGTCTTAGCTGAATGACGTTTGCCTATGCCTAGACGATGCCAGGTAGTCCTTTATGCTGAAGGTGGTCATACCCGAAAATGATTTATGATATTGTTTGGCGATACCTTTTGCATTTAATTACCATTTTACGTTTGCAAAAACTCTCAGCAAAACATTTGTCACAAGAAAGCACAGTAACATACACTTTCGATACATATATACCAACTTTAATCCTGATTTTCATAGTTGCGATGCCCTAATATTCCTTTTTCATTGTATCAAACCGCTATATTAATTGGTATGAAAAACTATTTAATAAATAAATAAATAAATAAATAAATATATATTAATAAATAAATAAATAAAATAAGTAAATAGATAGATAAATAAATAAATAAACAGGTAACATCTGTAGCACTATATTCACAATCTGCAGACTAAATTTGTTTTCACTTCACCAGGGTGGCCATCTCAAGTGATCTGTGACATCAGAAATTATATTGAGCTGAATAGCGTCACACATAAACAAAAGCTATTTTACTTAGTTTTCAAAAGGGAATTTAAAAATTGAATGAAGCAGTGCAAAGCGCTTAAGTTTTTCCTTTCATCTGTACTATAGTTCAATTAAAAATTAAAGCACTTTGTTCAGAATTCGAACCGCGGTTTTGATCCAATGCGGAATTTCAGCTGAAAAAGCCTTTTTTAGTCATTTTATTGCTTTCATAAGCCTTCTTTCGACATTTTCTTTGTGATTTCATGGTACACACGCTTGTTAAAGACTTGAATATTACGTTTTAAATTGAAATTACGTTCATACAACTCACTATAAGTTCCGATGTTTTATTTGGATGGCCAACCTGTACACGGTGTAGTAATAAGCTTAAAATTGCGGAGGTTCAGCCAGATGTGTTTAAAATATTTCGTTATCCCCGTTAAAATACAAGAATTATTGTGTACGCTAAATAACCATTAAATGTGTTTGTCGCCTTTGATGATATCGAGAAAACCAAATGCCTGAATGTGTGCATTTAATAATTGTATTAAATAGATAAAAAAATAAATAAATAAATAAATAAATAAATAAATAATTGAATCAATCAATCAATCAATCAATCAATCAATAAACATAATACTAAAAAGATAAATAAATAAATAAACAAGCAACATCTTCAGCACTATATTCACAATCTGCAGACTAAATTTGTTTTCACTTCACCAGGGTGGCCATCTCAAGTGATCTGTGACATCAGAAATTATATTGAGCTGAATAGCGGCACACATAAACAAAAAGCTATTTTACTAAGTTTTCAAAGGTTATTTAAAAATGGAAAGAAGCAGTGCAAGTTTTTCCTTTCATCTGTACTATAGCTCAATTTAACAAAAGACGCATTCGAACATTCAAACTGCGGTTTTGATCCGATGCAGAATTTTCACTGAAAACGATTTCTTGTCATTTCATTGCTTTCATTAGCCTTCTTTTGACATTTCCTTTGTGATTTCGGGGTTACATACGCTTGTAAAAGATGTCCATGTTATGTCTTAAATTGAAATTAAGTCACAACACTTTGATCATGCAACTCAATATAACTTTCGATGTTGAGTTGGATGGCTAACCTGAACCTTATGTAGCAAGTAGTTAAATATTACTGTGGTTCAACCAAATGAGTCTGAAATCTTCCGTTACCCCCTGTAAAATATAAGAACTATTTTGTACGCTAAAATAACCATTAAATGTGTTTGTCGCCCTTGATGATATCCAGAAAATCAAACGCCTGAATTTGTGCATTTAATGTTTTTATTATAGGGAGACTGCAAATAAATATACAGTTGCCAAAAATTCTCCTTTGTCAAACGTTTGATGTAAATGTGTAAAACCTCTTTCAACTATCGGTAGCGACATGGAGTTTCTTTTTTACGTTAAACTTGGTTCCTTTCCTGCACAAGCTGACATGTAGGAATTATTATATTAATAATCATATAAAAGTTCGATAAATCAATTAATCAATATTACACAATATTATCCAAAAGAATAGAACATTGATACCTTTCCTTTTAAAAAGATGTTGTTGGCACTCGCTATAGCTTCAGCATCAGGTGCAGATTGTTCCGTCAGACTTTCCATTGTTTTTCGAACTGAAAGAAAAAATGAAGAATGTTCCCATACACGATTGTTTTTGTAAATATATAATATATATACATGTATAAGTGATGTTTCACAAACCTAAAATGGAAGATATTATTGTTATCAACTGACAAAAATTTGATCAATAGTCTCTCTGACCTTGACTTAATTACAATGTACCCTAAATCCTTTGGCGTCGCTTGATGAAAGGGGCAATACCCATAGCAATATTAAGAAATTAAAAGCTATTTTTCTTACGTGATGTTAAAACTAAGTTTCACTAGAAGTACTGTCACCGATGGACTTTGATGAAACTCTACAGAAATGTAGCAAAATTGTTAAATTATTTCTTGTCTCCGGAACAAGTTGACCGACAGAACTGAAAAAAACATTTAACAAGTGATTCTCCTTAATTATTCGGTAAATTATGATAAAACATTACATCAATGATCCTCAATAAATGATGATCAATGGTTCCAATACACATTTTTCTATTTTTATCTGAACTTTGACCCCTATGTGTGACCTTGACCTTGGCCGTAGGCACTTGAATTTTGCACGTTACAATCAGCCTTACAATTGTTAACATGTAATGGTAATTTTAAAGGCAGAGGTCATTGTTTCTAGGAAAGGCTAAACATCGAGTTATACATGTAAGACTCTGCCTTACCAAACCAGGGGCCAGTATAAAAGTAATATGCCAATATCTTGTAGAAGATCAGTGTCAACTGCATTAACCACAGCCCCAGAAGACCAAGCTTGAATGAATTTATTTGGAAAAGAAAAAAATCGTTCAGACCAGTGATAAAAGTATGCAAATGATCCTTGGAGTAGCTTCTTGCTATAAAACAGATTTTTTAAAGAACTCTTTTGAAAACAATGTACCTAGAGATATTCATTTTGAAGGCGAACAGTTGAAATTTGTCAATAACGTAGTATTAAAAAAGAATGTTAGTGTTGTTTTGCTCTTTTCACCAGTTAGGCGAGTTTATGTATTTTATTTATTGTTGCTAAGCTGAAAGGTAAATTTATTGAAGATATCTCAATGTACCAGGTATATGTATGGTTTCTCATTTCAAACCAGGAGCATTCAATATTGTTTTAGATCGGAAACAGATAAATGAATACTTTACAAAGGTTGATTTTTCTATGGCTTTGATAGTGTTGTCTGTATGACCATCTCAGCCATGGATTCCTGTTCTTTTAGAATGTATTTGTTACAAGAATTTCCAAACCCTAAGACACAATCTAGAACAACAATCATTGGGAAAAGGCGTAAACCTGATCGCAACAGTTATATCGGGCAATCACTGGTTTCAACTGAACTAATCTCAAGAAAAGAGAACTTTATTCTCTCGTTATGGTCTTCAGAAACCAGAAAACAGTATGAAAGCGCTTGGAGATTATGGTATTCTTGGAACTGTGTCAGGTGTAGTTATTCCATTAAAACGAATGAGGACAAAATCGTATAGCATTTATTTCATTTGTTGAAATTAGGAATGTTATTATGTGATATAAGTAGTTAGTAGTCATAAATCTATTTTTTCCTCAACAAATGGTGTCAATCGTGAGTTAATTTCTCGCTTCATAAAGAGTGTATTTAGCTAAAATCCCTCCGAAGCCTCCGAAATTCAGATACTTAGTGTTTTGGGATGTGACTTTGTCTGCTATGAATTTGGATTATATGTTAATTCAAGAGGAAGATATTGTGTTTTTGTTTCCATTTACTTAAGACTTCTAAAGTTGGTCATTCATTTTTACTACGTGTTAAAAAATTTCCTCAGATAGGTGTATTTGCTATGCACACTCTTTTAGCCTATCTAAAGTAACGTTTTGTTCTTTATTCATTTCTTTTCAGAATGTTATTGGTAGTACTAAAGCCAGATGGCTGAAGACGGTTTAAAATCTGTCTGGTATTATTACCTATATTAATAGCTCTTTCTTTTAGAGGTGCATCCACATCAGCAGTCTTAAGGAGCAGTTGTTCTATGAAGTCTATTTAAGAAACTGCCGGCCGGAAGTCAGACAAAGACTTTTAGAAAGTTTATTACAGACAGTCTTCTAGTAATAGTAACTTGACTTATACTCAGGCTGATTTTAATAACATAATATGTAACAACAGCCATTTTATATCGGGAATAAACCATTTTGTGTACAATTTATTTCTTTGTTCACTTCAGTTTTCATGTTGGCACAACATAAGCTTTGTTGGCTATACAGATGATATGTATACATGAGAAAGCCGAAGGCTTTGTTTCACATCCAAGCTTTAGTGCAGGATGAGGGTAACTCGGAACATGAGAATGATTGACTGCTATTTTCGTTGATGCTCGTTTTGAATATATATTTAAGGTTTCTATAAAGTAATAAGAGATTGATTTACCATTGTAGCATAAACATTATATTTGCATTTTATGGCAAAACAATTAAAAAACTGTAGGACATAGCTTTTACTTATTATAGATAGGAAAATGATATATTATTACTCGGTAATTATAATAATATTTTCATAATCAATGGCATATTGTTCTTCATATTGTTTCCAGTTTATATACAGGTTGTTTACAAATTTATCACAATAAATTAACATTTTTACAGCTGTGGTAATTTTTCATTAAGGCAAATAACAAATAAATTATACAAGAAGATCCTCAATAATAATAAGGTTCTCTCCATATTTTGCGTTTGGTTATAAAACAATTAAAAAAAATTAATTGAAGCATATCATCTTTTTTGCTATTTGAGATAGAAGATTTCAACAGAATGTCATTTCTTTAGGATTAATTAATTTTTAATTGGATAATATCATTGAAATCAAAATTGATGACCTTGATCATTACTAAATATTTCTTATTACCAAATACATGCAGGAATGATGAATATAATATAAATGCACTAAATGAATTTAACTTAAGTCTAATAATATCTAAGAATAGTAACCCTTTTATATTTGTGACAAATTTTTGTAAATAGTAGATGTCGAGTAGTATTATGCCTCACCTAGATTCCCCTATCCGGATATTAATGAGTGGAAAACTTCATATTTTATCTTTTTTTTGAGTTTAGCCAAAGGGTCGCTATAAAAAGGGATTTAGGAAAATCAAAGCGATGAAATGTCACTTAAATATGATAACATTATCTTTGTCAATAATTATGAACATGATCTCAAGAACTGAATGGCAGAGAAATACGCACAAAGTCTAACTTGAACACTGCTTTAAATAATTTAGAAGTTATTTACTATAAAAAAAGCAAACGCGTAGCCATATATCTCTATTGTTATCTAGATGTTAAACAAGGTGAGTTAAACATGAGATATAATCAAGGAACATAGGATACAATGTACAGTGTACAATATATATTACATATTTAATGACTCAGTCGGGCTGTCGGAAAAGTTTTTATTAAGTTTTCGCCAAAGAGGGTAAATGATAAAAAGGAATTAGTGTTTATTCCATTGTGAATAGTTATGATCGTTTTAAAATGTGTTCTTTGTTTATTTATTATGTATGACTATAATAGCACTCTTTTTTGTTTAAAACAGACAGTCGTTTTTGTTATCATATCTCATTTCGTGTATTTTATAGACAGACTATCTTAATTTAGTTATTATGCATATATTTGACATTAATGATACAGGATCAATACTTTTTTAAATGAAATGAAAAAGTAATTTTCGCTGATCAAAATTACATAGAGGTTATTTGAAATTATCAAATATAATTTTCACGGATAAATCAGTAATCACTTCAAAATGATCTGTATGACGATAAAACAAACACGACAGATAAATGGTTTTAGTGTAACAATAATCTGTAGTATCCATAACACGCCTAAGATTTTGTATCATCATTTAAGTCCTTCAAAAATAATGATTTAAGAAGTGCGCATTTATATGTCAATTTAAGTGAGTATGTTTTAAAACAATTTTTCATCAGCTTTACTCTTTCAAATATGATCCGATATATATTGAAGTTAAATTATTGCACAGTTATAGCATAGACAATGTTTTTATGTGTTTTTGTTAGATGATATGGTATACAAATAAAGACAAATGGGTACCACTCTGTTACACTATTTTTGTGTTGATATAAAACCACGTGGTAGAACTACTTTCAATCCGTATTAAGTCCGGTGTAATTATGAACAATAGCCGAGGTGTGCCGTAATAACTGTAACGCTGAGCTAACAATTTTTCATGTATTCAAAACTTCGAAATAACCTATGAAAGTAATAGCAGGTTTTCTTCGGTCGAGTATCTGTTTAAAGATACTTCTTGTTTAATGATGAAAATATCAGAGCCGCCATTAAATTAAGCTATTTCTACATGGCGCTCCGAGTCACGCATATTTAAAGATGTGCATGAACGGCGCATGCACACGTGATTTTACTCGCTTATACACGCTTTCCTATCCGCAAATGTAAACCTGTGTACACAGTTTTTATGCCAGAATGTAGAATAAGTTAATATTCACATTTTTATTTTACATCAGAAAATTTAAATAATATATAATGTTGGCTGTACATAAAAATACTATCTTTTTTAATATTCTTCTAAATCAAAAAATTCTTCTCGATTATGTTTTACAAAGAATGGGTGTGGTCTTTGTATCTATGTTTACTATTTATGTACATGTATAAATGAGACTAGAACTTACATTATAACTGGGACATTATAAAATATGTTTTCATTATACGCTGACTCATGTTGAAATATGATCCTCCCGGAGACTAGTAAATTTTGACACCACTACTCATATTGTTTTACATTTATTACATATAATGAATTTCTTAACATTTCAAAACGGCAAAGTATATTATGATAGGTGTATTGTTACTGTTAATATCCATTTTAATATTTTGTTACTTTAACAATTATCCTTATAGTCAGTTATATCTTTTTTGTAATACTAATAGGTAGAATACAATGTACAGTGTACAATAAATATGTTACATATTAAATTACTCAGTCGGGCTGTCGGAAAAGTCTTTATTAATCTTCTTTTACCAA